GTATCAGCAAGCAGGTCAACGACTTAAATCAAGACATAGTTTTCTTAGATCTACAGAGACACTCGCTGGAACACCCCAGCAAGCGAGAGTCCAAAAGTGGCAGGCCCAAACCCAGCACCTCAATCCATGGGTGATACCAGATGAGAGACTCCCCCCTGGGCACATAGAAGACTGGGCGACTTGGAAGGCGCTGAACAGACTGCGCTCTGGCACCACGAGATGCAGAGCCAATCTTAAGAAATGGGGCTACAAAGTTGAATCATCGGCATGCGAGTGCGGAGAAGAACAAACCACAGACCACCTGCTGAATGCACCCTGAGCCCTGCCACATGCACAATGGAGGACCTTCTTGTGGCAACACCAGAGGCACTCCAAGTGGCCAGATACTGGTCAAAGGACATCTAACCAACTACCAAGTTTGCAAAATCTGTGTGTTTTTCTTCTTCTTTTTAATTTGTGTGTTTGTTTTGTTCTGTTAGAATTGTAACACAATGGTATGGTTGCTGATGGCACGATAAATAAATACCATGGTGGAGTAAAGATGGACATTATAAATAATTTGAGGGATTTTTTAAATAAAAAAATAAACAAAACATTTGCCCAGACACAAAGTTGTCTTTAGTACACTGCAGCTGCCTCTGGAGATGCATTTATTTATTTATTTGCTATATTTATATCCTGTCCTTCTCAACCCTGAAGAGGACTCAGAACGGCCTTACAATTGGCAGCAATTTGATTCCGTCAACAGACAATAGAAGATAGACATGTACATTAAAACAAAATTAAAAACAATAAAACATTAAACACAATTTTAAAATCACGTAATCAAAGGACATAGTCAAAGGCCGTTCTGGTCATTATTGCACTTCAGTCTACTTTACGCATTGCACAGCACTATTGTTGAAATAGTTATTTGGTTGAAATGCTTTTGAAATATATACACTTGCCTGACAAATTATCATTTTACTTTACAGATTATAAATTTGTGAATCAGGTATACACATCTACGCTGTAGGAAAGGTTTGGGCAAACCCAGGCCGAGGGGCCGAATGCAGCCCCTTAGGTTCTTTTCTCAGGCCTTCCTCTCTCTCACCATCCTTTCCTTCCTTCTCTAATTCCTTCCTCCTTCTCCCCCTTCCTCCCCTACCTCTCTCTTTTCCTTCCCTTTTTCTTTCCCTTCCACCCTTCCACTCCTTCTTCCCCCTTCCTTCCTTCCTTCCTTCCTTCCTTCCTTCCTTCCTTCCTTCCTTCCTTCCKTCCKTCCTTCCYTYYTKCCTTYCKTCCYTCCCTYYATKCCYTTCYWCCCTYCCTYCMTTSCCTTCCWYCCTTCCTKCCTTSCTTCMTTCCTKCCTKCCTTCCTTCCTTCCTTCCTTCCTTCCTTCCTTCCTTCCTTCCTTCCTTCCTTCCTTCCTTCTCTTCTTCCCTTCCTTCTCTTCTTCCCTTTTTTCTTCCTTCCTTCCTTGTCTTTTTCCTTCCTCCTTTCCTTCTAGGGAATGTTTAGGTGGGAGAAGAAAAGATAGAGAGCGAACATGAGAACCATGTTTCAAGATGTAAAAGGATGGCCCACGGAGGAGGCGGGAGGGGAAAAACTGATTTTCAGCTGCTCTAGAGACCGGAGCACAAGGGACTAATGGTTTCAAATGGCAGGGAAAGAGATCTGACTGAAAAGATTAGGAAGAACTTCCTGGAGAGTGGCATAGGCTGCCTCAGACTGCGGTGGAGTCTCCTTCTCTGGAGGCTTTTCCTCAGAGGCTTATTGAGAGTACTTTGATTGTGCCTTCCTGCATCGCAGGGGGTTGGACTGGATGGCCCTGAGTGGTCTCTTCCAACTCTAGGATTCTATATCAGGAATAGGCAATACGGGGTCTAAATTGGATATGCCTTTCCTCTCCCATCCACAATCTCATCTTGACCAAGACCTACCCTTTTGGGATCCAAACCTTTCTTGTCTTTCCTTCACTTTCTGCCTCCAAAGAGAAAAGGAATGGGAGGAAAGGGCAGGCAGGGGACCTGGGGAGATGCTACCTCCTGGCCTGCCCATCCCACTCCAGTTCGTCATGCAGCCCCCAAGTTAGAAAGTTTGCCCATGAAACCACTCTAACTGCTATGACTCAGGGCTGTGGAATCATGAGATTTTTAGTTTGGTGAGGTACCAGCACTCTTTGGCAGGTAAGGATAAACACTTTGTAAAACTAAACACCTATGATTCCATATCATCACATAATGGCAGTTCAAGTGGTGTCCAGCTGCATTAAGTCAACAACATATATGCAGTGCAAGTTTCCGTTCAGCACTGTATCCACTACACAACACTACACTGTCTCTTTGGAGACAAAATGTGATGGCTGGATTGGTAAAAAACAAACAAACCAAAAACCAAAAACAAATCTAGCACAACATATAAACCAGAATCTGTCAGTACTGTATAGGCAGTTCCCAAGTTACGAACATACAACTTAGATATGTCTCATAATTAAGAATGGGGTTGAGACAACAGGAAGTGAGAGAAATCTGCCCCATGGAAGGGAAATTTACTGCTGTAAGAGTTATCATGGTAAAAAGGTGTCTCCACTGAAGCGTTATCACCATAATAGGCCAATAACTTTAAAATGTAGTTATCACAGAGACAAAAAGTGAGGTGAAATCTTTTGAACAGGGACACAGACAGCAAAACAAATGTCACAGGAGTGTTAATCCTTCTCTATGCTGGTAAAGGTTTTCCCTGACATTGAGTCTTGTCATGTCTGATTCTGTGGGGTGGTGCTCATCTTCATTTCTAATCTGAAGAGCCAGCATTGTCCGTAGACACCTCCAAGGTCATCTGGTCAGCATGACTGCATGGAACGCCGTTACCTTCCCACAGAAGTGGTAACTATTGATCTACTCACATTTGCATGCTTTCAAACTGCTAGATTGGCAGATGCTGGGTCTAACAGTGGGAGCTCACCCCGCTCCTTGGGTTCGAACCACCAACCTTTCAGTCAACAAGTTCAGCAGCTCAGCGGTTTAACCCACTGCACCACCAGGCTATCCAAAACTAATATAGATATATATTTGGCTGGAATTATACTTTGAAAATGTACCTGTTCCAAATTACACACAAATTCAACGTAAGTACAAATCTACAGAACCTATTTTGTTTGCAACTTGGAGACTGCCTGTGTACATGTCAATCGAAGGCAATGCAATCAAGGGAAGGAGACAGAGAGAGAAAAGGAAAGTACAAGCACAGCCAAAAAAAAATTCTCTGAAATGGGGTGTAACCACTTCCCTTCAGGGATTTTAAATGATTCATCCTATTTCAACATACAACAATAAGACTTTCCAGAAAACAAGAGCCTCTGCAGTGCTGAAGCTGGCCTAAATTATTGTAAAGCAGAAATGGATTCTGTTGATGACTCAGTAGACTGAACTAGAGCCCATGCAAGCACAAATGGAAAAAATGCAGCCTTCTATTATGAGAATCACTTTATGCAAGGAATGATAACTACGATTCTTTCAGAAGACAATGATAACTAACTACAATTCCACCAGAATAATCCCTCTAGTGATCACTAATCCTTGGAAACATGACTGCACCAAATGCATTAATTGTGTTTTAATTGAATTATGGGATGCTGTTTCATCTTAATGTGTTGCGTGAAATGATGCAGTTGCAATTTGTATATTAGGTACAAAATTGTTCTCAGAGTGCAGATCATCATGAAGGCAAACCAGCACCATCCACACACAACAGTGGAAGATGAAAATGAATAAATAAAAACCCAATCATTTTGCAGTCTTTTAAAAAAACTTTATGTAGGAGTTTAGGAAGACAGGAATATTCATTTCCTTTATGCCCTGGATGCCATACAAGCAGACCTTTATGAAACTGTAATTTAATACATGTCATTCTTAAGTGCATCGTCATCTGAAATTCAGTAAACTAGCAATAAAAAATTTCTGTCTGTTCTTATTTATGCTTATCTTTCACTAGCATCCCTGGTGTGACATCCTCCTTTGCTGCCATCAGGATGGCTTAGCATGATACATGAAATGTAACCATGAGCCGTGATGCCTAAAGACACTGGGTCTCCAGTTGTTTTGGCCTTCAGCTCCAAGAATTCCTAACAGATGGTAAACTGGCTGGGATTTCTGGGAGTCGTAGGTCAAAATATCTGGGGACCCACAGGCTGAGAACCACTGCCTAAAAATATGTGGAGCCAAAGGTGACAGGGCTAAAGATCAAGGACCTCTTGGATTACATTTACACTGTAGAATCTATTCATCTTGATGCTACTTTCAGTGCCATGGTTCAATGCTATGAAATCCTGGGAGTTGTAGTTGAGTACATCACCAGGATTCTTTGGCAGAAAAGACTAAAGACCCTGTAAAACTACCACTCCCAGGATTCCATAGCATTGAACCATGGCAGGTAAAGTGGTGTCAAACTGCATTAATTCAACGGGTCGATGCACCCTTGATTACATGGCATGAGAACACCACTCATTAACTTTCTTTTGGAAGTAGCTACAATTCTCATGGTAGTGTGTGCAAATTGAATTTCTGAGTTTCATCCTTCACATAATACATCAGTCTACTATGTTGATGTGAGCTATTTCTAACATAATGCAAAGAATTTTGGAATGGCTTGGTCTACAAAAAAGCATCAGACCCATTCTCTTTATGAAAGACCTGCTCTGGGTAGGGATAAAAACACCTAGCAGTGGTTTTACTAAGCTGGGCCTTATATTTTTGGACTCACCTGAAGGTTGAGGCAATGGGTGCTATCAACATGTTACTCTCTCTATTAACATTTCCTAATTCATACGAACTGACCTCTCCATGCGTCTTTGCAAATTGACAAGAACAAATGAATGCTAGAAGATTGAGAAACCATTTCTGTGTCTGAGATAAAGTCCTTCATTTGTGATATTGTTTTCCTTTCCCCCTTTCTGTCCTTTTTCCCCCCTTGGCTTTAAACAAGGTCAGAGTTTTGGAATTCCCTCCCCATATAAGCAGCAAAAAGGTCTTGCTTACTCATCATTGTTCCTGAGCGTTTGAAGAAGACAGAGCAGGTGGAGTACTTGGAAGGGACAGAAGGAGGTAATGTGGAAACTTTGTTGAGAGTCCTCCAATTTTAGGCAGATGGACTGGATAGGATCAATAAGGAGTGTGGCACAAGGATATAATCCTGTGCTAATTCAAAGAAAAAGAAGAGCTTTGGGAATGGAAAATGGGCTTTTTAAAAAGATTGTTTGAAAAGGATAACATATATGCTGTCCCCTCGGGGAGATAGGGCAGCATACAAATAATAATAATAATAATAATAATAATAATAATAATAATAATAATAATAATAATTAGAGGTGTCAACTGTTATCCATCCATATTTGGTGGTCAATCCTGCTGGAATCAACCAGGTTGACTCTGGTGTAAACATAAAGATTTCTGATTGAAAACTGGACTCTGTGTGTGTGGTGTATATATGTATGTGTGTGCATATGCATAACTGTCTCTCTCTCTCTCTATCTATCTATCTATCTTAGACACACAAACATTTTGCATGAAATATATAACATTTTGCTTCCAGGGGCTTGAGATACTTCACTTTGAGGCTTATATCACTCATATCTGTATTTCTATGGGAAGTCTGAAGCAGCAGAACACATATTTATTTATTTATTTATTTACTCCATTTGTATACCGCATTTATCAGCCTGGAGCGGCGACTCAATGCGGTTTACAGTAAAAATAAACAGTGAACAATAAATAAGACGCACATCGACAAACAATACACATAATCATCAACGCCTACTTAGAATCAGATCCCGTTCTCATAGTCCTTAATTCAATCCTTGTTCAATGCCGTCATTATTGGGTGGTTGTTACTGCATAGCTAACCGAATGCCTGCTCATAGAGCCACGTCTTAAGCCTCCTTCGAAACACCAGCAACGAAGGGGCCTGCCTGATGTCCACTGGTAACGCATTCCATAGCCGAGGGGCCACCACCGAGAAGGCCCTGTCTCTCGTGCCCGCCAGCCGCACTTGTGACGCTGGCGGGACCGAGAGCAGGGCCTCCCCGGACGATCTTAACGCTCTTGGTTGTTTCCTGGATATACTGAGTATGATGTGCAATACAGATAACAAATGTTCTGAACTGGATTGATCTCCCTCCAGGACTGTTGAATTTAAAATAGTGTTCTTGTTTGCTCTTTTTCTCTAGTTTTTTTATAAGATATTGTTAATTGAGGAAAACACATAGCATCCTTGGTGGTGTGGTGTCTCTGCAAAATGTCTCTCCTGTTTTATATAAACAGCATTGGATAAAAATACCCCTAGCAGATTTTGATTGAACATTTGCAGGCTACATTGAGAAGGTTGGCACTTCCAAAGGGTCAAGCTAAGATATTATTTTATGCAAGTACTGAGGACAGACCACAGATAATAAAAGAATTTCAATAGTGAAAACACAGTGAGTTATTTGAATGGACTTAGAAGAAAGGGTCAAAATATACACATCTCGCCTTGAAAACATTGCACAGATGTAACTCTCACAGTTCCAGTGCTGCTATAACAATTGTGAGGAAGAACAGTGTATGAGGCTAAATTCAGCTATTTTAATAAGTTAATGTTGTCACTTCTCAAAATATGACTAGAGGTATGTTGGTTTTATCTATTTTTGTATTTCTTTTCCTCTTGCTTTTGGAGTGGATTTGGATACCACAAGATAATGGGATATGTGACAGCATATCCATTTCACAAGTAAGCTTGGGTCTTTCCAGGGAAATAAAGCCCAGTTATATTTGGGCAATCCTGATGTCTTTCCTTAAGGAAGAACTTATGTTGTATATAAGCTGATTACTTACAGCACTCAAAGCATTTTGTAAGATGTGAAACCTTTCTATAGTATGTCTTTTGTTATTTTTTGTTGCTTATGACAAATTCAAGGAGGATTTACTTGATTTTCACACTTTTGTAATTTTGAAATCTTGTTGAAAATAGTCAGATGTTGGTAGATTTCTCAGTGTAAGGGAATCCCACAGCCTTCTATTTAACTGGAAACTTCACTAGCTGACTGTGTTTCCCCCTCTTTATTCTTTTTCCACAAGGAGCTGTCATTGGTATCCACCAAGTCTTACCCAAGGTAAGGATGCAAATCCTTTGCTATTGTGAGGCCAAATAATTTTAAAAAATCTAAAATCCAAAACACTTCTGGTTCCAATAATTTTGGATAAGGGACATTCAACCTGTACTTTGAGATATCAGAGAAAATGTTCTATGCCAACTATGGAAATGTGATAGTTGCAGTCCAAAATACAACTTCCTTAAGCTTCGAGAAAAGGATAATGTATCAGTTAGCCTTTGGACTTCATACACCCCCTCCCCGAGCCATGGTGGGGGGGGGGGGAGAGGTGGAATCATCTTCTTTATGTGATGTTTCATGGGGTTCCATGTTTAAAGAAGTGTGGGATTTACTAACCCTCATCACACAGGATCGCCTCCTTCCCTTTCTGGATCAACCATTTCAAGGATACTAGTACACTTTTTGAATCAGGCATCTTTTTGAAACAGCACTTTACATGAGATCACTCCCCGTAAGTCCCTACTCTAAAGGAGATGGACATACTTTCCTTTTTAAAAGACCACTTCCATTGTGATCGTTCCCCTTAAGCCCCTACACTTAAAGGAGACGAACACACTTTTCAAACTACTTCTTTCAATGAGACCCAAACTGTATTTAAACCACTAATGGAAACAGAAAGCACATTAGCAGACCACCTACACTGAAACATCACAAAGTAATTGGACAAATCCACCACTTCCTATCACAAGGGCAAACACCAACTCTTAAAGCATTTCTATGCACAGAGAAAGGAGTGGAGTCAATGTCTGCCCTTCTTTGAAATCCTCCTGTTGCTATTCACTATGGAAATGGATTCCCACAAGCAACGACTGGAAGCAGTCCTGCATTGTTTGATGGACTTTGTAGGAGTCTGTCTTTGAAGTGTACCAGAGGAACACTTCGATGTGATGAGGTCCTATGAGGCATATTTTTGGATTTTCATTCCTATGAGTGGGGAGAAAATAACTTGAATAATTTTTTTACATTCAAAATCAAACACTATTTGTGTTGCACTCTTGTCCCAGCTGACTGGGATCCAAGGGCAGTCAAGTTATTTTGTCTTTTATGGCAGAAAACTCCACAAGCAGTTATCTGATGGTAAATATGAAATAATAACTAACCATTCCATAGCATTCCAAATAAGTTGTCTAATGGTAGGACTATTTGAAAGATGTGAAAACATTACAAAATGAATTCATTTCAAGTGCTGTAAAGAGAAAAGGAGATAGCATTACGGATATTGCAAACTTGTAATAAACATTAAGGATATTGTAAGAAAGATATTGTGGGATGAAACATAAATTTGAAAGTTACCAGAACCCCACCCCTTTTTCATTTCAGGTTCTCAAGAAGAGAATGAGTGCCTCAATCACTTTGCTTGCACTCTTTTGTGTTCTGCCATTCGCCTTCTCCAGTTCGGTCATTTATTACACAAGTTCCAAGGGGATATGTGGGGATAAATGTGATTATCATGGCTATGAATACACTTGGTGCAAACAATATGGTGGAAATGGGAAAGACTGGGACTATTGCTCTTTAGAAGAAGGTCTGTCTGCTTCAGGCAAAAAATGTGCCACATCTTGTGATTTTTTCGGGGGCTCGTATCGTTACTGCTACCATGAAGATGGAGGATGGCATTACTGCGGATTGCACAGGACACACGATTTCCTTGAATACTCCCAGGAGAACCATATATGTATCAAGAACTGCAGAGCAACTCAAGGTTCTTTCCATTGTGAAACCATCTACGGTCCTCAACGCTGCTCTCCGTTCCATGACATAACTCCTACTGGCTTGCCTTGCCACAACAACTACCGTTGCTCTAAATATGGGCACTCCTCATATCGCTGCCTTATTGATGACAATAAATCCATGTGGGACAATTGTGGACAGAAGGGCTTGGATGGGTGTGTTTGGGTTACCTATGAGAGCAATTCTTCCCAGGTAGAGGTCTGCACACTTTCCAACACCCTGAAGGAAGGCAAGGTCATCTTCCGCAGAGAAAGGCGAGACAACATGCTCCCTCCTACTAAGGAGGAATTCAAAAATGCTGTCCACCTTATTGATAAAATCATGAAAGTCACAAGTCACCCTGGTCCTGGTCCTGAGGAAACCATTACCTTCTATAAGCAGGAAGATATATTCTGCAAGGGCATCAATTATACCAGTGTCGAATTGCACATAAAATTATCTGATGAAACCACCGAGCCCATTGCACATGTTGTCTTCCCAACATTCCTGAACTCTGCTCATCTCCTGCGCCTAGCATTTTACACTAGTCTCCACAGCACTTTTCATCCACCTGCCTATACCATTGCTGTGTCTTTTGATGAGCCAATGTTATGTTCTACTGATCATCAATAACAAATTAGCCTGATCATCTTGTTTGTATATCTCATAGTGATTTGTTTTTGACATCTGCGCAGTTGCTGCTTTGCCATAATGTATCATCACCACTGTATTTACCAGTATTTGTGGGTGCTTTCACTTCCCCCTCCCCTTACCACAATATTATGTGTAGCATTAGATATTTTAGTTGTTGGGCTAAATCCAATTGCAGTTGTTGTCAAGTAACCATCCTCAGTTATGTTGATAGGTATGCATTACTGACACCTGTAGCTATGCTCATAAGAGAGCATACAGCATACAGTGAGACTTTTCACAATTCCCTGGCTTTTGGAGGTATCCTTTGTAATTGCTTCTCATGAAAACTACCTGATATTATTGGAATTAATAAAGACTTAATATTGCAATATGAAACTGACTACTATGAGGTCTTAATGCAACTATTATCTATATACCATAACATTTTATATGTTATTTGCTTACTTTGAACACCTTGACCTTCCATGATATTTGTAACACTACATCCACCAATTCATAGTTCACCTATTCTACATCATTGTTGTGTCAATGGTGGCTTCACCCAGTTAATAAGCTGGCATCTAACTTTCTAGTAGCAAGTTTTAGAATACCTCACCAGACTGATCCTTAAATGAAATTCTCCTGCCTGAAGCTGCACTTCTTGATAGAATGTGCCTCTCCCCCAAACCATAACATTGGCCAACACATGTTTTGGTGCCTCTAGTGCTAGCTCTGTGTCAATTCAAAAAATGGCATCAGGTTTTCCCTATCCACTCTAATTTTTGAGATATAGAACATATCCCAACTATCATTCACCATATGATTGTCAATAGAAAATGATGATAACAATTTCTAAGAAACTAGAGCAGATGCCGTCTATTCAATGCCAAGACGCAGCCAGGACGGAGTTTGCTGGAGCCGATCGCATGACAGAGGGCTACTTCCAGTGGCATTTAATGAATGATGCATCTCACCAGTGTGCTAAGCAGCATCCCTGAAATCACATGTGACTACTTGTGTTCTCATAGAGTGAGCCAGGGATAGCATGACTGGGGTCGGATGGGTTTTCGCATGGTAAGGGAGTGATGCAGGGAGCTGCTTGATGGTTTACCCCGCTGCCTGGTGGATTTGCCACACTACCCCATGTATGCCCCCGCTGTCCCCTGGCTTAAGGAGCTACATGTGATGAGGTCCTTAGAGTAATCCCCCAGCCAGTCTGACCAGTGGGTTAAGGTTTCTGGTGGTTCTCTTCGGAGCTTTTTCAAACTCTGAAAGAAAACAGTCTATGAGAACATTTCCAAGTTCCTTGGCAGGGGGAGAATTATTGTTAAATATTTACAACATATAGCTGTTATGCAATATATACTGCTTGTTAAGCCTTCATTGGCTTCAGACAATTTTTGATCATTTAACATGATTATTCATGTCTTTTGGGATTCCTCTTAAGTGAAATGGAGCAACATTTAGGTGAATGTGACTACCTTGGTCAGGATCCAATTAAAGGAGAGAAGAGGCAAGTGAACACGTGATTCTCTCAACCTTAATTAAAAAAAAACACCCATAACTTTTAGACATGATATTTATTACCAGTTATGTCACAAACAGTGCACAGAAGCATCACAGCTACATTTTTACACACAGGGATTCTAACCACTGAATCTGTAACTGCCTGGCAAATCATGTTTGTGGTACTGTAAACAGAGGGCAGGTGAAAACTCAATCCAGATGACTCACAAACTTTTCTTCAAATTTTGATTTTTTTTTCCATTGTCACTTCAACGTGGAAAGAAACTTTGCTATATCAGCCAGTTGTTACCCTGCTGTTTGAGAGAAACAAGCAAAATTCCATTGCTCTTTATTTCAAGAAATAGGGCTGTCTGGATTATCAGTATGCAAAGGGATGTTTTAGCAGCTTTAATGACCTCATCACACTAGAGTATGAATCCACTTTAAATCCAGTTTCTGCCTCCTGCAAAATTCTGGGGCTTGTAGTTTAGGGAGTGGCCTTTAAACTATTCAGCCTAATAGGTCCTGGGACTCACTAAACTACAAACTCCAGAATTCAGCAAGAGGCAGAAACTGGATTTAAAGTGAATCTATCATTAAAACATGATTAAAGGTTATTATACTGCAAAGATGTTGTCTTTGCATGAGATACATCATCCGAAAGCACTTTTTTTTTTAGTCTTCACCAATTTAATAAAGTTTCAACTACAAACACAAAGTTTCTGGAGTAGAGCAACTACTTTCAAGGTAAAGACTACACCATTAACACATTCAAGGTAGGAACATGTATTCATTATTCTTTTAATAAGGTTGTTTATAAAAAATTGAAAATTTGCCAAAAATCTGTGGATAAGTGAAATGTTTGGAATTTTGGTGGGCAAACAGTGGGAAATGTGTTCTACCATTGTAGAAAGTTTCAGCTCAATAGCTTTAAAAATGAGGAAGATAGTAGCCCTGAAGTTTCCCCAATTATAGTAATTTAATTATGTGCTATTAATGTAACAAAATAATAATAAAATTTTGTTACTCTTATTATAGTAACAAACTTTTCACTAACTTTACTTTAGACACTCTTTAGAAATGAAGCACCAGTGCGCCCCCCCCCCCCAGTTTTGTAATGACGTTTGAATCACATATCTCTATGGTATACTATGTTGATGGGAGCTATTTCTCTCATAATCTAAACAATTTTGGATGCTTGGTCTCCAAAGAAGCATTAGACACACAATCTTTATGAATGACCTGCCCTGGATAGGGATAAAAACACCTAGTAGTGGTTTTACTAAACTGGGTCAAAAAGTTTCTTATATTTTTGGACTCATCTTAAGGTTGAGGCAATGGGTGCTATCAACATGCTATCAACATGCTACTGTCTCTAGTACCATTTCCTAATTTGCATGAATGGATCCCTCCATGCTTCCTTGCAAACTGAGAAGAACAAATGTATGTTGGAAGATTGAGAAATCGTGTCTGTGTCTGAGGGAAAGTATTTTATTTGTGGTATTGCTTTCGTTTCTCCCTTTCTGTCCTTTCCCCCCCTTGGTTTTAAAAAAGATCAGAGTTTTGGAATTCCCTCTCCATATAAACAGCAAAAAGTCTTGATTACGCATCATTGTTCCTGAGCATATGAAGAAGACAGAGCTATTGGAGTACATGGAAGGGACAGAAGGAGGTAATGTGAAGCCTTGTTTAGAGTTTAGAGCTTTTGGAACAGAAAGTGGGCCTTTAAAAAAATATATTGTTTGGAAAGGAGAACACATATGCTATCCCCCTGGGGAAATAGGGCAGCATAAAATAAATAAATTATTATTATTATTATTATTATTATTATTATTATTATTATTATTATTATGAAGGGTAACAACTGTGATCCATCCATGTTTGTTGGGCAATCCTAGTGGAACCAACCAGGTTGACTGGTGTAAACAAAGATTTCTTATTGAAAACTGGACCCCCCCCCCTATAAATTTTAATAGGATATATATCATTTTACTTTCAGGGGCTTGAGGCACTTCCTTTTGAGGTTCCTCACTTATATCTGTGTTTCTATGGGGACAGAACACTGCTAATCAAAGAATTTCAATCGTGAAAATATGGTGGGTTATTTGAATAGACTTTAAAAAAGGATCAAAATATACAAATCTGGCTTTTGATAACATTGCATGGATGTAATTCTGACTGTCTAAGCTCTGCTATAATAATTGTGAAGAAGAACAGAATATGGGGCTAAATTCAGCCATTTTAATAAGCTAATGGTTTCATTTGGTCTTCTTGAAGTATGGCTAGAGGTATGTTGGTTTTCTCCATTTTTGTATTTTCTCCCCCTTACTGTTGGAGTGGATTTGGATACCATACTTCACAAGATAATGGAATATATGACAGCATATCCATTTCACAAGTAAGCATAGGTCATTCCAGATAATTTATATCCCGATCCAAGTGGGAAATAAAACCCAGTTATATTTGGGCAATCCTACTGTTTTTCCTTAAGGAAGAACTTATGTTGCACAGAAGCTGATTACTTACAGCACTCAAAGCATTTTGCATGCAGTAAAATGTGAATCCCTTCTATAGTACCCTGCTTTCCCGAAAATAAGACATACCCATAGAATAAGCCGTAGCAGAATTTCTAAGCATTTGCACAATTTAAACCATGCTCCAAAAATAAGACATAGTGATAGGTGTGGCTATGAAGTATACAAGATCGGCTCCACCTGGTCATTCTGTGCCTGCTGCAAGTTGAGGCATAGAGGGAGACAAAGAAAGTGAAAGTAAAAGTATCCTCAGCGAAGTGAGGAGCAGGACGCAATCATTATTATTGTTATTATTATTATTATTATTATTATTTATTTGATCAGTCATATGACCATTTCAAAATAGAACATGAGTAAAAAACAAGGCAAAAAGGTGAGGACAGCAGCTGACCTTCTATTTATAGTGAGGAGCAGGACGCTCTGCTTTAGGTATTGTGTGTCCGGGGGGGGGGGGGGGGGAAGTAGCTGTGGCTGCCATTTTACTCAGCACTGTGGCTCTCTCCCAGCACCAACCAGCAACAGTCTGTGGATCACTCTCATCCCATCTATCTATATAAATAAAAATGTAATGTTCGTTTGTGGTATTAACAGAACTCAAAAACCACTGGACGAATTGACACCAAATTTGGACACAAGACACCTAACAACCCAATGTATGTCCTTCACTCAAAAAAAAATTGCCTTTGTCATTTGGGAGTTGTAGTTGCTGGGATTTATAGTTCACTTACAATCACAGAGCATTCTGAACCCCACCAACAATAGAATTGGGCCACAGAACCCTTATGTGGGCCACAGCAATGCATGGCAGGGGACGGCTAGTACTTAATAAAAATGAGACAGCCCCTGAAAATAAGCCATACTGTGTCTTCTTGAGAAGAAATAAATATAAAGCAATATCTTATTTTTGGGGAAAGATGGTATGTCTTTTGTTATGTTGTGGTGCTTATGACAAATTCAAGGATGATAGACTTGATTTTCACACTTGTGTAACTTTGAAATCTTGTTCATTATTTCCTGTTGAAAATAGTCCCATGTAGGTAGATTTCTCAGTATAAGGGAATCTCACAGCCTTCTATTTAACTGGAAACTTCACTAGCTGACTGTGTTTGCCCCTCTTTTTTCTTTTTCCAGAAGGAGCTGTCATTCTTATGCACTGAGTCTTACCCAAGGTAAGCATGCAAAGCCGTTACTATTGTGAAGCCAAATAATTATGGTATGATCCTTCACGATTCAGGTTGGGCATCCCTTATTAGAGATTCCAGAAAACTTCAAAACCCCAAATTGTCCACTGAGATCATGACACTTTTGTTTTCTGTTGGTTTAATGTATACAAACTTTGTTTCACACACAACATTATTAATATAGTGTTTATAAAATTACCTTCAGGCTATTGTGTATAAGACGTTAATGAAACATGAATAAATTTTGTGCTTCAACTTGGTCCCATCTGCAAGATATCTCAATATGTTTGTATATGCAATACAGGTACTCTAAAACATAAAAAAATCTAAAATCCATAACACTTCTGGTTCCAATGGATATGGCACATTCAACCTGTGTTTTAGGATACCTGAACATCAGGAGAAATCTACTTATAATTCTCCGCTGGATGGAGTTTTCTCACCATTAGACAACCTGCCCCCCTTTTTACCAATAATTACAAATATCCTTTTCATACCTAGAGTAAGGCTCTCACTTGTAAGGCCTGTTTCAAAATCATACTTGCAGTTTATGTGGACTTATACATTGCTGAATTGTGGTTATCAGGTACAGTCTCGCTTATTCAACATAAATGGCCCAGCAGAACATTGGATAAGTAAAAATGTTGGATAATGAGGGATTAAAGAAAAGCCTATTAAACATCAAATTACGCTATGATTTTACAAATTAAGCACCAAAAATTATGTTTTACAACAAATGGACAGAAAAAGCAGTTCAATAAACAGTAAAGTTATTTAGTAATTATTGTATTTATGAATTTAGCTCCAACATTGCAATGAGCAGAAACTGCTGTGGATCTGGGTGGAAGGCAGACTGTGCTGGATAATACAGAAGGCTGGATTAGTGAAGGTTGAATAAGAGAGACTCTACTGTATTTACACCATTGAGTTTTCAGAGGTTTACAGATTATATGGTATTTATGAAATCCACAAAATGAGGAAAAAAGATAAGAACTTGGGAAAAAATATTATTTGGACTAAAGAGAAAAATCTTCTATACCACTGGGGAATTGTAATAGTTGCAGCCCAAAATATAACTTCCTTAAGCTCTGAGAAAGGGATAAAGTATAAATTAGTATTTGGACTTCATCCCCGTCCCAAAAGGGAGGTGGGAGTGGAATCATCTTCTTTATGTAACATTTTATGGAGTTCCATCACACAGGATCACTTCTTCTCCTTTCTAGCTCAACCATTTCAAGGATACTAGCACACTTTTTGAATCAGGCATCTTTTTGAAACAGCACTTTACATGGATCACTCCCCATAAGTCCCTACACTAAAGGAGACAGACATCCTTTCCTTTTAAAAATACTACCTCCCATGAGATTGTTCCCCTTAAGCCTCTACAATTAAAGGAGACAGACACACTTTTCAAAAAACTTCTTTCAATGGGACCCAAACTGCCTTTAAATCATTAATGGAAACAGAAAGTACATTAGTAGACCGCCTAGACTAAAACATCACAAAGTAATTGGACAAATCCACCACTTGCCATCACAAGGGAAAACACTCACTCTTAAAGGATTTTTATGCACAGGGAAAGGAATGGAGTCAATGTCTGCCCTTCTTTGAAATCCTCCTGTTTCTACACACTAAGGAAATGAAGTCCCACTTGCAACCACTGGAAGCAGTCCTGCATTGCTTGATGGACTTTGTAGGAGTCTGTCTTTGAAGTGTACCAGAGGAAAAGTTCTATTTGTGTCGCATTTTTGTCCCAGCTTAAGACTGGAATCCAAGGGCAGCCAAGTTATTCTCTCTTTTATGGCAGAAAACTCCACAAGCACTTTCCTGATAGCAAATATGAAATAGTAACTAACCTTTCCTGTGTTTTTATAGCGTTCCAAATTGGTTGTCTAATGGTAGGACCATTTAAAAGATATGAAAAAATTTCCAAAATGAATTCATTTCAGGTAGCTGTAAAAAAACAAGGAGCTAGCATTACGGATATTGCAGATTTGTAATAAACATTAAGGATATTGTAAGAAAGATATTGTGGGATGAAACATAATTTTGGAAGTTACCAGAACTCCACCCCTTTTTCATTTCAGATTCTCAAGAAGAGAATGAGTGCCTCAATCACATTGCTTGGACTCTTTTTTGTTTTGCAATTCACCTTCTCCAGTTCGGTCATTTATTATACAAGTTCCAAAGGGATATGTGGGGATAAATGTGATTATCATGGCCGTGAATACACTTGGTGCAAACAATATGGTGGAAATGGGAAAGATTGGGACTATTGCTCCTTAGAGGAAGGTCTGTCTGCTTCAGGCAAAAAATGTGCCACATCTTGTGATGATTCCAAGGGTTCATACCATTACTGCTACCATGAAGATGGAGGATGGCATTACTGTGGATTGCACAGTTCTATCATTTTTTACACAAGTTCTGACGGGATATGTGCAGATAAATGTGATTATCATGGCTATAAATACACATGGTGCAAACAGTATGGTGGAAATAAGGCAGATTGGGACTATTGCTCCTTAGAAGAAGGTCTGGATACTTCAGGCAAAACATGTGACACATCTTGTGAGTTTTTTGGGGAGTCCTACCGCTTCTGTTACTATAAAGATGGAGGATGGCATTACTGTGGATTGCAGAAGATGCAATTTTTCCTTGAATACTCCCAGGAAAACCATATATGTATCACAAACTGCAGAGCAAGTCAGGGTTCTTTCCATTGTAAAACGATCCATGGTCGTCGACGCTGCTCTCCGTTTCATGACATAACTCCTACTGGCTTGCCTTGCCACAACAACTACCGTTGCGCTAAATATGGGCACTCCTCATATCGCTGCCTTGTTGATGACAAATCCTTGTGGGACCATTGTGGACAAAATAGCTTGGATGGGTGTGTTTGGGTTACCTATGAGAGCAATTTTTCCCAAGTAGAGGCCTGCACACTTTCCGACATCCTGAAGGAACGCAAAGTCTTCCTCCGCAGAGAAAGGCGAGACAACATGCTCCCTCCTACCAAGGAGGAATTCAAAAATGCTGTCCACTTTATTGATAAAATTGGGTCATATTTTCCGGGTCCTTGGGAAAGCATTAATTTCTATAAACAGAAAGATATATTCTGCAAGGGTATCAATTACACCAGTGTGGAATTGCACATAAAATTATCTGATGAAATCACAGAGCCCATTGCACATGTTGTCTTCCCAAAATTTCGAAACTCTGCTCATCTAGTGCGCCAAGCATTTTACACTAGTCTCCACAGCACTTTTTATCCACCTGCCTATACCATTGCTGTGTCTTTTGATGAGCCAATGTTATGTTCTACATACCATCGGTAATGAATTGGCCTGATCATATTGGTTGTATATCTCATAGTGATTTATATTTGACATCTGTGCAGTTGCTGCTTTGCCATACTGTAATATCACCACTGTATTTACCAGTATTTGTGTATGCTTTCATTTCTGCTTCCCTTACTACAATGTTATGTGCAGCGTTAAATCTTTTAGTTGTTGGGCTAGATCCAACTGCAGATGTCATCAAGTAACGATCTTCAGTTATGTTCATAAGTATGCATTACTGACACCTGTAACTATGCTAAAAAGACAACATATAATATAATGCATACAGTGAGTCTTTTTATAATTTCCTGCCTTTTGGGGGGTATCTTTTGTAATCACTTCTCATGAAAACTATCTGACATTAATGGAATTAATAAAAACCTACTATTGTAATATGTAACTGACTACTGTAAGGTCTTAATAAATCTGTTATTTATATACCATAACGTTTTGATATGTACTTTACTTACTTTGAACACCTTAGCCTTTCATGATTTTTGTAACACTACATCCACCAATGCACAGCTCACCTATTCTACATCATTGTTGTGTTCATGGTGGCTACCCCAAATTAATCAGCTGACATCTAACTTTCTAGCAGCAAGTGTTAAAAGATCACAAGGCTGTTCTTTAAATGAAATTCTACTGCCTGAAGCTGCACTGCTTGATAGAAAGTGTCTCTCCCCAAAATATAACACTGGCCAGCACACATTTTAGTGTCCCAAGTGTTAGCTCTTTCAGTGCACAGAAGGGTGAATAAATAGTATATATTGCATCCTTTACCCACTGGTCAGACCGGCTGGGGGATTCCTGGAATGGCAGACCCAAACTAACTTTTCTAAGGACCTCATCACATGGAGGTCCTTAAGCCAGGGGACAGCGGGGGCATCCATGGGGTAGTGTGGCAAATCCATCGGGCAGTGGGTTAAACCATCAAACAGCTCCCTGTATTGCTCTTTTACCATGACATATGGAAACCCATCCAACCCCAGTAGCGCTGTCCCTGGCTCAGTCTACAAGAACACAGGTAGTCACCAGTGTTCTCAGGGATGCTGCTTAGCACGCTGGTGAGATGCATCACGCATGAAGCCCTACTGGAAGTAGCCCTGTTTCATGTGATGTGCTCCAGCAAACTCTGTCCTGGCTGCATCTTGGCAGTGTCCTAGGATGGGGCTTAAATCCCATGTGATGAGGTTGTCAGTTCTGGTTCCTTTATATTTTTCTATTTTGTGCTTTGAGATTATACATTTTCCTGCGTAACCTGAAAGCTGAAGCACAGTTTTCTCTGTTCATAAGAACACAGGAGGAGGAGCCAAGTTATGAAGTCAAGAGATTTACAATGATGTTTTTCAATTTCAACCTTTTATGATGCCAAAATTGGCCACATTTTGGTCAGGATCCAATTCAAGGAGAGAAGAGGCAAATGAACACGTGATTCTCTCAACTGAAATACAAAAAAAAAAAAAACCCACCCATTGTTTTTAGACATTATATTTATTTCCAATTATGTCACAAACAGTGCACAGAAGTAACACAGCTACATGTTTACACACAGAGAGATCCTAAGCACTGAGTCTCTAACCCCCTGACAAATCATGTTTGTGGTACTGTAAACAGGAGGCAGGTGAAAACCCAATCCAGATGACCCACAACTTTTCTTCATATTTTGATTTTTTCAGTGTCACTGCAACATGGAAGGAAACTTTTCTATATCAGACAGTTGTTGCCCAACCATTTTGGAGAGAACAGCAAAATAGCATTGCTCTTTATTTCAAGAAATAGGGATGTCTGGAATATCAGCATGCCAAGGGATCTTTTGGCAGCTTTAATTGCCTCATCACACTAGAGTATGAATCCACTTTAAATCCAGTTTCTGCCTCCTGCAATATTCTGGGGCTTGTAGTTTAGGGAGGGCCCTTTAAACTGCTCAGCCAGACAGGTCCTGGGCCTCACTAAACTACAAAACCCAGAAATCAGCAAGATGCAAAACTGGATTTAAAGTGAATCTATCATAGAAACATGGTCAAAGGTTATTATACGGCAAAAACGTCGTCTTTTCACAAGGGACATTGTTTTATAGCACATTTTGCTTTGTTGAGTCTCCACCAATTTAACAAAGTTTCTACTACAAAAATAAAGTTTCTGGAGTAGAGCAACTACTTTCAAAGTAAAGACTGCACAATTAAACAGGAAATAACACGTTCAAGGTAGGAACATTTATTCATTATTATTTTCATAAGGTTGTTTATAAAAAAATTGAAAATTTGCCAAAAATCTGTGGATATGTGAAATGTTTAGAAATTTAGTGGTCAAACAGTGGGAAATGTGTTCTACCTTTGTAGGAAGTTACAGCTCAATTGCTGTAAAAATGAGGGAGTTAGGAGCCCTGAAATTTCCTCAGTTATTGTAATTTGATTATTGCAACGAAATGGTATCAAATTTTTCACTAGTTTAGAAACTCTTCAGAAATGAAATGCCAGCAAACCCCCCCCCCCCCCAGTTTTGCAATGACTTTTGAACCATTTTTAAAATGGATCACACATCTCTACGGTCTACTAAGTTGATGTGTGAGCCTTTTCTCTCATAATGTAAAGAATTTAGGAATGGCTTGGTCTCCACAAAGCATCAGATCCATTATCTTTATGAAATAATAGTGATGAAAACACCTAGCAGTGTTTTCATTTAGCAGGGCAATTCGATTAGATGCAGATGATCAAGATGGTTTTAAACAGTGTATTTTAATATTGAGACAAATGTTTTAAATATTTATGTATGCATATAATGAATTCATGTCCCGGCCTTGAATGTTTGCCGTATATGTGCTGTGCTTCACTCTGAGTCCCCTTCAGGCTGAGAAGTGCTGAATAGAAATGTTTTAAATAAATAATAAATAAATAAATTTTACTAAACTGGATCAAAAAGCTTCTTATATTTTTGGACCCACCTTAAGGTTGAGGCAATGGGTGCTATCAACATGCTACTGTCTTTACTAACATTTCTTAATTTGCATGAATGGACCCCTCCATTCTTTTTTGCAAATTGAGAAGAACAAATGAACATTGGAAGATTGAGAAATCATTTCTGTGTCTGAGGACAAGCCCTTCATTTGTGGTATTGCTTTCGTTTCTCCCTTTCTGTCCTTTTTTCCCCTTGGCTTTAAACAAGGCCAGAGGTTTGGAATTCCCTCCCCATATAAACAGCAAAAAGTATTGCTTACTCATCATTGTTCCTGAACATTTGAAGAAGACAGAGCAAGTGAAGTACTTGGAAGGGAAAGAAGGAGGTAATGTGGAAACCTTGTTGAGAGTCCTCCAATTTTAGGCAGATGGACTACATAGGATCAATAAGGAGTGTGGAACAAGAATATAAGATGTGCTAAATTCAAAGAAAAATAACAGCTTTGGGAAGGGAAAGTGGGAGATAGGGAAGCATACAAATAAATTATTATTATTATTATTATTATTATTATTATTATTATTATTATTATGAGGGATATTAACTGTCCATGTTTGATTGTCAATCCTACTGGAATCAAGCAGTTTGACAGGTGTAAACAAAGATTTCTGATTGAAAACATGACTGTATGTAGTTATATACGAATCATTTTACATGGGATATATATCATTTTGCTTTCAAGGGCTTGAGTCATTTCGTTTTGAGGCTCCCCACTTATATCTGTATTTCTATGGGAAGTCTGAGGCAGCAGAATACATATTTTGGTTTTTTTCTGGATATACTGAGTGTAAAGTGCAATAGAGAAAACAACAGATCTGAACTGAATTGATCTCTCTCCAGGACTGTTGAAGTTAAAATAGTGTTCTTGATTGCTCTTTTCCTCTAGTTTTCTTAGAAGATGTTGTTAATGCATGACGTCTCTCCTGTTTTATATAAGCAACATGGGATTAAAATATCCCTAGCAGAATTTAATTGAACATTTGCAGACTATATTGGGAAGGTTGGGCACTAGGAATGGGACAAGTTAAGATATTATTTTTTGTGAGTACTGAGGACAGACCACAGATAATAAAAGAATTTCAATAGTGAAAACGCAGTGGGTTATTTGAATTGACTTAGAAGAAAGAATCAAAATATACACATCTGGCCTTGAAAACATTGCACAGATGTAACTCGGATGGTTGATAGTGCCTTTATTCTAGGAGCTTCTGTAGAAAACAGGAGGGTGGCCAGACGCTGTTCCCTGTAAACATGGAAGCAATAATTACAAATGGCAAAAAAACATGGGATTGCCAGGTTCAGGAATATTGTGGTTTTGAGCCAAGTATGCGGATGTTCACATGTCTTTATGTCCCTGCAATAAGAAATCACGGGATTTTTTATCTGGGTTTGTTCCCAGGTTTTAGATGTTTGTTCCCGATTGGTTGGTTCCTAAAATGATGACACTTGAGTGGAAGGCAAAAACTTTGTCCTGGGAAGAGGAACTTCATCCTTCACCTGTTTAATGAAGTTTGTGGCCAAAAGTGAAGTTCCTGGGGTGCAAAATGTACTTTCACAGTAAGTAGTATACAATGAAACAGGAACAGACACTTTCAAACCAGGAACAGAATGTCATCATTACTGTAACTACTCAGACCTTGTTGTATGACTATCTGTGCAGACAGGTTTTGTGGTGTACTTGTGTCAGGGAACAACAGGATGTGTTGCCGGTTTATACATGTCAGTTCCTCATTGGGTGTATGCTGACAACATGGTTGGAGTTTAGTAAATGGCAAAAGCTTACTACTGGCTGTTGGGACATGTACGTGCTGGAGAGGAATGTAAATATCTAAAGCCAAGGTCATGCTGGTGGCTAATAGGAAGAGACATGTATCACTCAGGAACATCACCCTGTTGTTCCATGCCATAAGTACACCACTAAACCCACCCAGACAGATGGTCAGGCAGACTCTAAAAAGTAACAATAATGACCTCACTACCCCTGAGGATGCTTGCCATAGATGCAGGCGAAACGTCAGGAGAAATGCCTCTAGAACATGGCTCTATAGCCCGAAAAAACCCACAAGAACCTAGTGATTCCAGCCATGAAAGCCTTCGACAATACAATAATGACAAAGTTTTGTTCCTGGATTGAAAGTGTGTTTTCCTGTTTGATTATGTACTGCTGACATGGGCAGAAGTGGTCCTATCTATTAAGTTTGTTTGTGTGGCAGATACTTAATGAAACGTCTGGAGGGCACACTTTCTCAGGCCAGGGCAAAGAATGAAACTTTTTTAGTGATTCAAATGTCTGCATATCTGCATCTTGATCTTTTTTTTTTAAAAAAACTGCTAAGTTTCTGGTGGAAGTCCCACATTGGCCATCTTGGGAGCCTCTAAATGTCACAACAAAGCATCAAGTCTGGAAGACAGAGGCAGAAATCCCAGGACCAAGAGGTTTGCATGTGGATCTCTCCTGAAGTCCCGGGATTTTTTTACCCCTATTTAAAACCTGTGATTTAGTGCTGTCTGGAAGCACCCTCTCTGGTATGCTATAAAATTTGTGAAGAAGAACCGAAAATGGGGCTATTTTAATAAGCTAATGGTGTCACTTGGTCTTCTCAAAGTATGACTAGAGGTATGTTGGTTTTCTCCATATTTATATTTCCTCCCCCTCTTGCTTTTGGAGTGGATTTGGATACCATACTTCACAAGATAATGGGATACGTGACAGCATATCAATTTCACAAGTAAACTTAGGTTTATCTCCTTATCCAAGTGGGAAATAAAGCCCAGCTATATTTGGGCAATCCAGATGCCTTCCCTAAGGAAGACCTTATGTTGCACAGCTACTGATTATTTACAGCACTCAAAGCATTTTGCATGCAGTAAAATGTGAAACCCTTCTATAGTATGTCTTTTGTTATTTTGTGGTGCTGATGGCAAATTCAAGGATGATAGACTTAATTTTCACACTTGTGCAATTTTGAAATCTTGTTCATTATTTGCTGTTCTTGAAAATAGTCCGATGTAGGTAGATTTCTCAGTGTAAGGGAATCACACAGTCTTCTATTTAACTGGAAACTTCACTAGCTGACTGTGTAGCCCCTCTTTTTTTCTTTTTTCACAAGGAGCTGTCATTGCTATCCACTGAGCCTTATCCAAGGTAAGCATGCAAATCCTTTACTATTGTGAAGCCAAATACTTGCGGTATTATCCTTCACAATTCAGGTTGAGTATCCCTTATTGGCAATTCCAAAATACTTCAAAATCCCAAATTGTCCACTGAGATAGTGACACTTTTATTTTCTGTAGGTTTAATGCATACAAACTTTGTTGCATACACAGCATTATTAACAATAGTGCTTATAAAATCACCTTCCGCTATTATCTATAAGATAATGAAACATGAAAAAATTTGGTGTTTCAACTTGGTCCCACCTGCAAGATATCTCAATATGTTTGTATATGCAGCTACAGGTACTCCAAAACATCAAAAAAAAATCTAAAATCCAAAACACTTCTGGTTCCAATAATTTTGGATATGGGACAGTCAATGTGTACTTAGGGACATTTGAATAACAGGAGAAGTCTACAAATAATTCTCCCCTGAATTGAGTTTTCTAACCATTGGACAACCCCCCCCCCCTTTTTTAAACCAATCATTACAAATATCCATTTTCATACCTAGAGTAAGACTCTCACTTGTGAGACCTGTTTCCAAATCACTAATACAGTTTATGTAGACTTATACATAGCTGAATTGTGGTTAACAGGTATTTACAACAGTAAGTTTTCAGAGGTTTACAAATTATCAGGTAGTCATGAGGCCCACAAAATGAGGAAAAAAGGTAAGAACTTGGAAAAAATATTATTTGGACTGCAAAGAAAAATCTATGCCAACTGGGGTATTGTGATAGTGCATTCCAAAATATAACTTCCTCAAGGGATAATGTATCAATTAGTCTTTGAACTTCATCCCCCCCCCCAAAAGGGAGGACAGGTGGAATCATAGTCTTTATGTTACATTTCATGGGGTTCCATCTTTACTTACCCATATTACACAAGATGGCTTCTTCCCTTTTCCAGCTTAACCATTTCAAGGATATCAGCACACTTTTTGATCAGGAATCTTTTTAAAACACCACTTCCCATGGGATCGTTCCCATTAAGCCCCTACACTTAAAGGAGAGAGATACACTTTTTAAAATACTTATTTCAACGGGATCCAAACTGTCTTTAAACCACTAATGGAAACACAAAGCACATTAGCAGACCACATACACTGAAATGACACAAAGTAATTGGAGAAATCCACCACTTCCCATCACAAGGGAAAACAGTAAAACACCCACTCTTAAAGCATTTCTATGTATAGGAAAAGGAGTGGTGTCAATGACTATCCTTCTTTGAATCATCCCGTTTCTATACACTGTGTAAACGGAGTCCCCAAGGCAACCACTGGAAGCAGTACTGTCTTATGGATTTTCATTCCTATGAATGGGGAGAAATTATCTGGAATAATTTCTTTACATTCAATATAAAACACTGTTTGTATTGCACCCTTGTCCCAGTCTAAGACTGGGATCCAAGGGCAGCCAAGTTATTTTGTCTTTAATGGCAGAAAGGTCCACAAGCACTTTCCTAATAGCAAATATGAAATAGTAACCAAACGTTTCCTGTGTTTTTATAGCACTGCAAATTGGTTGTCTAATGGTAGGACCATTTGAAAGATGTTAAACATTATAAAATGAATTCATTTCAGGCCGCTGGAAAGAGACAAGGAAATAGCATTACGGATATTGTAGACTAGTAACAAGCATTAAGGCTATTGTAAGAATAATATTGTGGGATGAAACATAATTTTGGAAGTTACTAGAACCCCACCCCTTTTTCATTTCAGGTTCTCAAGAAGAGAATGAGTGCCTCAATCGCTTTGCTTGCACTCTTTTGTGTTCTACCATTCACCTTCTCCAGTTCGGTCATTTATTACACAAGTTCCGAGGGGATATGTGCAGATAAATGTGATTATCATGGCTATAAATACACTTGGTGCAAACAATATGGTGGAAATGGGAAAGATTGGGACTATTGCTCTTTAGAGGAAGGTCTGGATGCTTCAGGCAAAAAATGTGCCACATCTTGTGATTTTTTTGGGCAATCCTACCGCTTCTGTTACCATAAAGATGGAGGATGGCATTACTGTGGATTGCACAAGATGCAAGATTTCCTTGAATACTCCCAGGAGAATCACATATGTATCAAGAACTGCAGAGCAACTCAAGGTTCTTTCCATTGTGAAACTATCTATGGTCTTCAACGCTGCTCTCCGTTCCATGACATCACTCCTACTGGCTTGCCTTGCCATAACAACTACCGTTGCGCTACATATGGGCACTCCTCATATCGCTGCCTTATTGATGACAATGTATCCATGTGGGACCACTGCGGACGAAATAGCTTGGATGGGTGTGTTTGGGTTACCTATGAGAGCAATTCTTCCCAGGTAGAGGTCTGCACACTTTCCAACACCCTGAAGGAAGGCAAGGTCTTCTTCCTTAGGGAAAGGGAAGACAACATGCTCCCGCCTTCTGAGGAGGAATTCAAAAATGCTGTCCACCTTATTGATAAAATCATGTCAGTCACAAGTCATCCTGATCCTAGACCTGAGGAAAACATTGATTTCTATAAGAAAGAAGATATTTTCTGCAAGGGCATCAATTATACCAATGTTGAACTGCACATAAAATTATCCAATGAAACCACCGAGCCCATTGCGCATGTTGTCTTCCCAAGTTTCCTGAACTCTTCTCATCTCTTGCGCCTAGCATTTTATACTAGTCTCCACAGCACTTTTCATCCCCCTGCCTATACCATTGCTGTGTCTTTTGATGAGCCAATGTTGTGTTCTGCTGACCATCAGTAACAAATTGGCCTGATCATCTTGTTTTTATATCTCATCGTGATTTGTATTTGACATCTATGCAGTTGCTGCTTTGCCATACTGTACTATCATCACTGCATTTACCAGTATTTGTGGATGCTTTCACTTCACAACCACTTACCACAATATTATGTGCAGCGTTAAATCTTTTAGTTGTTGGACTAGGTCCAACTGCAGTTGTCATCAATTACCAATCCTCAGATATGCATTCGTAAGTATGCATTACTGATACCGGTACCTCTGCTCAAAAGAGAGCATACAGTATAATGCATACAGCAAGGCTTTTTACAATTCCCTGTCTTTGTGGGTTATCCTTTGTAATTACTTCTCATGAAAAGTACCTGATATTAATGGAATTAATAAAAACGTATGAATAAAAATATGCAACTGACTAATGTGAGGTCTTAATACATCTGTTATCTATATACCATAGCATCTTTGATATGTGATATATTTACTTTGAACACCTTGACCTTCCATGATTTTTGTAACACGACATCCACCAATGCATGGTTAACCTATTCTACATCATTGTTGTGTCCATAGTGGCTACACCCAATTAATCAGTTGGCATCTAACTTTCTAGTAACAAGTTTTAGGATTCCTCACCTGGCTGATCCTTGAATGAAATTTTACAGCCTGAAGTTGAACCTTCTCCTCCAAAATATAACACTGTCCAATAGGCATGGATAGAGCCGCATTGGATAACTCGTTGCTTGTAATAATTTTGTTAAAATTACCTTTTTGAAGCGATTTTGAAGCATTTTTAAAAAGCGGAAGTCCCTTTGCCCCTCCGAAGCTTTTTCCGACATTTTTGTTATGACTCAGGAAGTGAGTCAGAAATTATTCTGATTCCCCCAGCCCATGTTCTCATTGAGTGCACCAGGAACAGTTCAGGATCAAGCCAGGGACAAATGGGTTTCCACATGTGAGGGTATGTGAGTGATGCAGGGAGCTGCTTGACAGTTTACCCTGCTGCCTGATGGATTTGCCACACTACCCTATGGATGTCCTGCTGTCCCTTGGCTTAAGGACCTCCATGTGATGAGGTCCTTAGAAAAGTTAATTTGGGACTACCATTCCAGGAATTCCCCAGTCAGTCTGACCAGTGAGTGAAGTTTTCTGGTGGTTGCCCTCTTCCTAAAAGGGAACTTTTTCAAACTCTTTTTCAAACTCTGAAAGAAAACAGTCTATGAGACCTACCTTGGTAGAAATTTTGCTATATCAGCCAGTTGTTACCCAATTGTTTGAGAGAGACAAGCAAAATTGCATTGCTTTTTATTCCAAGGAATTGGAAAGTTAATCTGGAATATCAGTATGAAAAGGATCTTTTAGCAGTTTTAATGACCTCATCACACTAGAGCATGGATGCACTTCAAATTCAGTTTCTGCCTCCTACAGAATTTTGGGGCTTGTAGTTTAGGGAGGGGTCAGACAGGTCCTGGGCCTCACTAAACTACAAACCCCAGATTTCAGTAGGAGGCCGAAACTGGATTTAAAGTGAATCTATGTTCTAGTGTGATGAGGCTGTAAGTGAGAGAAAGAAATTGATCGTATAAGATTTTATAGACTTAATTTTTTGTCATCAGATGCATGCATTTCATGGCTTTATTTACTCTTGTTCCCCGATCTATGTCTTAATTTAAATAACCCAGTTATAAACAGAATAATTTTAAAAGATCACATCCAATTTATTCAGCCCATTCAAAATAAAATTTGGAACTTGGAAAATATACTTATTTTGGATACAAGAGTATCCCTCTGAACAGTCTATATTTTTGTTCCCAGCCAAAAAATCCTGCATATGGTTATTCTCCCACCCTGGCCTTAGGTAACATCTTTCTTCCTGCCTAGGTCCTTCAAGGACCTTCTTGTTACCTCATAACAAATTCTGCATTTCTATGGCTGGCTACTCGCAGTCTGCCCACAAAGATCCCCTCCTAGTCATTAGATTACTCATGTATCTGAAGAAGCAGGCTATGGGTCTCATCAGACTGGGCAATTCCACCCTGTGTCCCATGCCGTTCATCTGGCCTTTGTGATGAAGTCATAAGTCTATTTTATTTATTTCATGTCAAAAGCATTGCCTTCCTCCCTTAGGCGATCCCTCATTGTCCGAGTAAAATAATCCTCCAGGGTGGATCCATAGGTGACTATGGAGCCCTATTCTTGATCTGCATCATCTCCTGCAGTGAGGGCATTGGTTTCCAGGTGGAAGACGGTACCAGTCGGGGTTGGCTTGATGAGCCTTCCTCTTGGCACATTTCTCTCTTTCACCCTCCATTGGTGCCTCTTCAAATTCTACAGCACTGCTGGTCACAGCTGACCTCCATCTTGAGCGCTCAAGGGCCAGGGCTTCCCAGTTCTCTGTGTCTATGCCAGAGGTTTTAAGGTTGGCTTTGAGCCCATCTTTAAATCTCTTTTCCTGCCCAGCAGCATTCCGTTTTCCATTCATGTTTATTTTCATTGGAAGATGCCTGTGCACGATTTTTTTCAATGTGTGGAAGTCAGTGCACACTGATCACACCCCCCCCCCCCCAATTACGACTGGACTTAATGTCAGGGGAAAACCTTTACTTTACTTTACCTTACTTTACCTACTTGGTTATCAAAAACTCGATGCTGGGAATTTATCCTCTTGATAACTTTTCTGGAGGCTAGCCTGATAATTATTTGTTTCAAGGTTGCTCCATGGGAGTCATGCTGTTAGGATTTGGTCTGTGATTCCCAAAATCATTGCCAAACCTCTAAATCATACTTAACCACTAAACTGTAGCATACTGGCTTAAATGAAGACATCTGAACCTCTAGGATGATGTGTACTTGCTGAATGCCATTTTGGCTGTCAACATCTGCGTTGTCTCCTGGCAAAGCCAGCTGAAAGCAGATAGCAGAGTCTCTTTCCCAGATATCACATGTGGCAGCCAATAAATTGTCACTGTTTTGAGCATCAAAAGGCCACATGCCAGACTTCCCAAGGTTGCTACTCCTGGCTTGGAAAATGTTTGGAGCCAGTATTCAGCTTTTTGTGTTTTTCTTGTGTTTGTCACTGAACTCTGCTGGGTCTGAAGTCAACACAGAATATTTTTAGTGTCTACAGCATCAGAGTCAATACCTTTCGTCAGGAACATTAGTTATAATTTGCTAAGCTTTCACAAACTGGGAAAATTTGCAAAGCTCGGGCATCTGGTAACTGTAGTCAAAGACAAGCTTTCAAATCTATAAAATAATACTCCTGTTTTAACAAGACTTCCTGTGATGCTTTTTACTCTGAAAGCCAAGGGAATGGTATGGCATGCCCAACCAAGTATATTATCAGAAATTATATGTTTTTTATGTTGCTTCACTTCATAGTCCACTGGGACAGGCAATAGTGACATGGAGGGGGAGGCAATGGTCCAGTAGGACCAATGTAATATTGTTTGGGCTAAACTGGCTGGATGCCAATTTGTCACCACAGCAGATTCAACTGGTTGCACCTGTCCACCTCTGGGCCCAGTCTGAAGCATAAATGGCACTATAGACTTGCCCTCATGACTTTGGGCAAGCTGCACTCTCTCATCCTACAAGGAAGACAATGGCAATACATCCTCCTCTAAATTTTGCCAAGACAACCCTTTGATGAAGTTGCCATAAATTGAAGATGATCTGAAAACACATAAAAACAGCTCCTCTGATAAATGCTTTTCACAATTACAATCCACAATTACAGGTATGAGAAATGTTAAAAGAGTTTCACGGAAAGCAAGGGTGGCATCATATAGCCTTCAATGTATTTTTGGATTGAAACTCTCAGCACCATTCACTGTCATCATGGGCGAGTAGGATTGCCTTTCAAATGTAGGGTCTTAGTGGTGGGTCCTCAGGTGACTGTAGAGACTTATTCTTGATCCACATGTTCTTCCAAGGTGAGGACATCGATTTCCAGGTGAAATGTGGTCCTGACAAGGTTTGGCTTGACACGTCTCCCTCTTGATATGCTTCTCCCTTTTGCCCTCCATTCATGCCTCTTCAAATTCCACAGCACTGTTAGTAACAGCTGACCTCCAGTTAGAATGCTTGAGGGCCAGGGCTTCCCATTCTTGGTGTTTATGCCAGAGTTATTAAGGTTAGCTTTAAGCCTATCTTTAAATTTCTTTTCCTGCCCACCAACATTCTGTTTTCCATTCTTGAGTTGAGAGTATAGTAACTACTTTGGGAGGTGGTGATCAAGTATTTGGACAACATGGCCAGTCCAGCAAATTGATGGCAGAAGATCATCGCTTCACTGCTGGTGGTCTTTGCGTCTTCTAGAATGCTGACATCTGTCCACGTGTTTTCCAAAGAGATTTGCAGGATTTTTTTGGAGACAACACTTATGAAATTATTCCAGAAGTTGAGAGTGATTTCTGTAGATGGCCCATGTTTCGCATGCATATAACAGAGTTGGGAGGAAAATAGCTTTATAAACAAGCATCTTGGTATTTATTTATTTATTTACCACATTTTTACCCTTCGCGTCCTGAAGGGAACTCAGAACAGCCTCACAAAATGCAACTATTCAATGGCATCAATAAAATTATCAAATACATTAAAACCCAAACATTTAAAAAACATCAACATTAAAACATCATTAAAATCATGCAATTCCAAATCATTATCCAGGGCAGTTCCATTTGTCATTGTATTCGTTTCATAATCACTTACTGGACTTCTCAAAACTAGCCACAAACTTGGTCCCACAACCATGTCCCAATTCTCAAACACTCTCTGCTTCATTCGAAAAAAAAAAATAACGCTGCACTTGAAGAGCTCAGACGACTGGCTAAACTTTCTGGTCCCAAAAAATAATCTAGAGGACTTCCCAGTCACTGATGGAATTCCAAGTAATTCCCAAACATTGGTCATCCAGGTGATTGGACATCAGCTCCCAATGTGTGGCAGCTGTCATCTGAGCAGACAAATCTCAGAACTGGAATGATAAATTCCAAGAGAAAACATCTGGCAGACATCAACACTGGTAATACTGTGCAAGATTGTTGCAAACTGTAGGATGGGGAATCCTCACTATCATGTTTATTAAAATACTATTTAGCTGTAATCCCCACTCTCATTAAACACCAACAAGACATGTTTGTGCCCACAAAGGGATGAAGAAATCAGCATTGCTCCAAAACCCGTAGTACACAAAAGCTTCCTTGGATGAAAACTATGCCAACAAACTATCAATTCATCCTCTGACTCATTGCGGTTTATGGGGCAGCTAAGAATCAGAAATACCAACAGAAAGAGTTAAATCTTATTTATTCCCCCTTGCTTTTATTGAGGATCAACATAGAATTCCTTCTTCAACTGTGCTGTAGGCTATATATAAAGAGGATGCGTTGGCTGGAAAATTTTAAGCTGATAAAG